GTTCCTCTGTCTCTCTGCTGTCCGACTCTGGGGGTTTAGGAGCCCGCATATCATTCCCAAATGGCCCTGGCCCCACCTCTGCTTCCGATGCAGAGCCTTCCCCAGACTCCAGGACTGGCCCATTGTCCTCCCCAATCCCACTGTCTGACTCCGCTGCCAGCTCCGCAGGTGCTGGCAGACCACAACAATGGTGAGACACCCCATCAGTTTCCAAGTGAAGAGGCTTGGTTCTTCCTGGTGTTCAGTACATGGGCTTGGTGGGCATGGCAGGGGAAGGAAACTGCACAATCTCCATTCCTTCACCTCCTGGGGGAAGGATATTGCAAAATCTCCATTCCCACCACACTCTGGGGCCAGCCAGAGGTGGTATTTGCCGGTTCTCCAAACTACTCAAAATTTCCGCTGTCGGTTATCCAGAACCAGTTAGAACCTGCTGGATTTCACCCCTGATTTAGGCCCTTGAATAAACTGATTCTGTTCAAAGTTGGGGAATGAGTCTTTTTTTTTTCTGTAATGTACTGTAAATATTCATGTACATGCACCCCACATACCCCCAAATGGTTTGGATAGTTCCATGCAACATTTTGTTGCAAGCTCCAACTTTTTAGCTGCCAAAATCAAAATACAGTTTTATGTCTGCTGCTCCCTGAGTAGCTAAGTAGGAAATGTCTGTGTGTTTAAATAAAAAGAAATCCAGCGACACAACTTTATAAGGTCTGTCAGCTGCTACCGGTATTTACACTATTCACTTCTGTGTTCCATAATGCTTTTGTGTCAATCACGCTTATAGCTGTCATGTACTACTGTCAACCAAATCTAAAGAGTGACTCAAAATATTAATCTATGTGTGTCAGTGTACCAGGAATTATGATATAATGTTAGTTACATAAATTGAGCTATTCTGTTTGTTCACTGCCAAGCAGAAATGTAATATTATGTGGCGGAGCTGGTTTTATTTAGGACATATAAATTACTGTATATGTTTTCTACACCAAAGCAGGGATTGCAATTTATTTTATCCGTTTCTCTCCACAATATATTCATGTGCAACTGAAAGTCTTTAACTTCCATAAACTGTTTCCTTGCCATATTTTTCTTAAGCATTATGGAGGTTAACCTAAAAGTAGAAACATTAAATATGCCAATTCAACAATGAAACCAAGACAGTATCTTAATTTAATCCAAACAAAATTCTATCCAGTTTTGAAATACTAATCCACATTCAAGTTTAGTATGCCATTCAATAGATTTTTAATTTTTCCATGAGGAAAAAAAATGAATGGGATTTGTAGCTTATATAAGACGTCAAATATTATTAAACTCTTTAATGGGCAAGTGACATTTGGACTCAACAGTAACAGATGGTCGACTGAGGATGTTTTTACTAACACATATTAAGCAAACTGTTACAACAAACCGTTTGGGTTTCGTTCATGGATTTTATTTTTCTGTCTATTTTGAGACATTTTAAGGTAGTAAGATGTTTCTCAAACCCTTCTTCTTCGGTAACTTTATATCCCTTTTCTGAATTTGGGCTCTCCAAAAGTACTTTGATATTATTTAAAGCAAAGAAAGAGCATTTTTCCCTGTGTATGTTCTTAGTGAGTACTGCATTTAAATATCATTATATTGCAAGCTTCTCCTCTTCATAGTATATGGATAACTGTTCACCCCACTGTTCTACAAAAGATCATTATAAAATAGCAATGTAGCATAATTACCGATCTTTACAGGCAGTAAAAATATAATTATGATTGATTGATTACATGCCATCAAGCTGGTGTTAACCGTTAGGATGGGTGGGTGGATTACTGGTTTATGGTAGATAGACAGACAGACAGACAGACAGATAGATAGACTCCCTTCCCTTCCCTTCCCTTCCCTTCCCTTCCCTTCCCTCCTTTCTTCCCAACATGTTGGTCGGGTCTTTCAATGTGGCACCCGTCATCACTGTAATTGATGTATTTCCACTTCTTCCAAATGTCCTCTTTTTCCTTTCACAGCATTATATTCTTCTCCAGGGAGCAAGGTTTTCACATAAAATGCATCCAAAGTATAATTTGTGCAGCATGTGGGAACTCTGGTTTGATTTGTTTAATGATCCATTTTGTTTGTGTTCTTGGCTAAAATACAAACATAATTTATCACTGGAACAATTTCAGTAGTCATCTTTGAATTTTGATAGAGTTCATTTGCTATAGACTATGAATGTCTGGCACAGAGACAGTTCTTTATAGGGGGATCTTTAGGGAATGGCTGTACCTGTGCACTACAACATGCTTCAGTTTTGCTTAAAGAGATAAAAATTCTCTCAAATCAATCTCATATCCTTGTGATCATATGGACACAATTGTGTTATTTTCTTGGCAGTATTCTGACCTAGGCTCCCTTAACAAGCAGGAGGCAGGAATTGATCCCGGCAAAACCTCTTTTATTTACACGACTCTGAATTTCATTCATTCACAGTCAGCAAGGTTTGTCCAAACAGTTTTTCAAAGGAATATTTCTCAATACACCTTATTCGTTTGGCAAGCTGCCACGTAACTTGTTTCCAACTGCAGTACAAGGCAAACTTGGCACAGAATCTCTCAGAGTCACAGAATGAACGAATTGTTTCCTGCAAAAGCCCACTCCCTGTTTGCTTCTCTTTTGTTTCCTATGGGAGGGGGCCAATCACCTCCAAGGTGTGGCTTTACTCCCGAGTTGACCCTGCTTTCTGAGTTGTTCTTGCCTTCTGGCAGCTCTGCGCATGTGCACACTGGGAATGGGCTCCAGCTGTTCCTCTGCTGTCTACCTCCCTCTCTGCCTCCGATGCAGAGTCCTCATCCGAGCTTTCCCCAGCCCCCAGGACTGGCCCAAGTTCCTCCCCAACCTCCTCACTGTCTGACTCTGCTGCCAGCTTTGCTGGCTGCCGGTGGGCCACAACAGGCAGCAATATGGAAGTTGCTTTACATTGCTTTTCTGGATGCTAATTTACAGCCTGATTTCCCAAGCACTGTTCTGTTTCAACCTGCTTAGCTTTCCAAAATCACTTCACCACCCACTAACCTTATATTTATTATTTTTATTTCAAAGGAAATTCATGCTTGATAAACTGCATTGGAATTTTCTACAAGAAATGAAGCAATATACAAATGCTTTTAATAATTATTGAATTAAACAATAATAATAACAATTCCTAAATATCTGTCCTCTGGCTCGTCTCAGTTATGACGTGACTATTGTGGCTCAAAATGCTAGTGTTACTCAGTTTTTACCAGTATGAGGAAGAACCAGTTGTTGCGAAGGACTTAGTTCTGCCAATTTTTGCACTTTGTGGAAGTGCTAAAAAGGAAAAGTAATAAATTGTGTAGTTCCATGATGGTTCCCAGAAGGGATAGAAGATGAGACGGTGAGAATTTCTGTGGTCCAGTATCTTTTTCTTCCCAGCTTCTTGTCCTTCAAAATTTCTATTAGCAGCTTTTCTCCTTGAGATTCTTTTCCCCTTAAAAATAGAGTTCAACATATTGGTAAAAAAATAATAATAATGGTTTTAAGCCCCATGAAGCAAGTAAGCAGTCATTTTCTAACAATTTATTTTCTACATTAATTATGAAGTTCTTCCTCATTCCCCCATAACCGTGATGGCGAACCCATGATGGTGGCATGCAGAGCCCTCTCTGTTGGCAAGCGCGCCGTTGCCCCAGGTGAGATCTCCGTGGCGTTTCTTTCGTGAGCTTCTGTTTCCCTGCAAACGATGAAACAGAAGCTCACGAAAGAAAAAGATCTTACCTCTTACTGCGCTGCCAGTATTGGGATGCCCTGCCTCCCACCGGCCAGCTAGTGTTCGGGTCTCTGTGCACGTGTGCGCGCGCAAGTCCAGGCATGTGTGTGTTCACACATGTCACATGCACGCACATGCACCTTTCAGTTTGGGCATGCACACACGCACAGTTTGGGCACTCAGTGTCTAAAAGGTTCACCATCACTTCCCCTAAAATGTACACCCAACCTCTTATTGCTCCTCGTGACCAAAGAATTACAGAAAAGCAACCTTCAAATTCATAATATGTGGGGCAGTGAGTCTACTCCACCTTGCTGGTGCCATTGGAAGCTGCCCTTCTGCAAGGTGGTTACTGAGATGAACATGGACCGACTGTCAACAGGCTCAAGCAACAGATTTGCAACTAATCGATCAGCAGCGATATTCAATGTTGAACAATGTGAGGGTGTCTCCCAGAAACAACACATTGGCCTGACTTGTCCACCACAATGAGTCAAAGGTTACCTGTTCAAGAAAATTTTACTTCTATCTTATCGCCGAGCAGTTGAATCCTGCTAGGGAAAAAAAACAACCACATAAAAATGATGATGTTTCCAAAGAACATTTTATTCCTGTTCTTTTCAATCCTTATCACTGTAGCATCTAGTTGGGAGAGTCCATAATTAATGAGCCATGGTGGCACAGTGGATAGAGTGCAGTACTGCAGGCTACTTCTGCGGACTGCTGGCTGCCTGCTATTTGGCAGATCAAATCTCACCAGGCTCAAGGTTGACTCAGCCTTCCATCCTTCCGAGGTGGGTAAAATGAGGACCCAAATTGTTGGGGGCAATAGGCTGACTCTGTAAACCGCTTAGAGAAGGCTGAAAGCACTGTAAAGCAGTATATAAGTCTAAGTGCTATTGCTAAGTACTATTGCTATTGGACTTGGGATGCTCCTTGCTACTGATACAGTATCTGTCCTTGTTAAGAAAAATAATTCAGAATCTCACTTTTGTGCATAGTGAAATATACTGTACCCAAAGTTGCTAGTAGGTCTGGCTAATTAAATATCCCATGACTTGATCATAGAAATAAAGCATTGGTTGGCTCAGAGTCTTCAATTGGAATGCATATACTCTTCTATTAATGTGTGTATATATATGCATATGTATGTATGTATGTATACAGCATTCAATGTCTGAACCAGTAATAATATTAATTTTAATAATACTTTTTTCTTTTGCTATTTTACTTCCAGAACCACACTACGGCAAGTGGTCGCCCAACTAAAGTGGACGCTCCTGACCATGTCCTATACACTGTAGGCTCTTGTGTTCTGGCCATTGGTTGTGTTGGAATTATAGGAAATCTCCTTGTACTCTATGCATTTTACAGGTATAGTTTTCTCAAGCTAGGAATAGGGATGAAGGAAGAGAGAACAATTCACAATTGGTGTTCTGTTCAGCCAATAGTTCTTCTGTCCTCTTTTTTTATTCTGCTCCCATTCAACAGCAGATTGGGTGGGATTAAGAGGGACCGATCTGTTTGTTCCTCTTAACGTTACAACCATTTATTTAGCGATCATTTGAAGTTAGAAGGGGATTGCAAAAAAGGGACTGGTTACTTTTTTAAAGTAACTGGTTATGACTTATAACACACTTATGATGGTTGCAGCATCCCCACGGGTTGTGATAGAATCTGGACACTTTGCAAGCAGGATGTACAGGCAGTCCTCAACTTACAACAGTTCATTTAGTGACTGTTTGAAGATACAACAGCATTGAAAAAAGTGACTTATGACCGTTTGTCACACTTAGAACCTTTGCAGCATCCCCATGCTCATGTGATTTACATTCGGATGCTTGACAGCTGGTTTATATTTATGACAGTCATGTGATACCCTTTTGCGACCTTCTGACCCACAAAGTCAATGGGGAAGCCGGATTCACTTAACAACCGGGTTACTAATTTAAGAACTGCACTTAACAAATGTGACAAGAAAAGTAATAAAATGGGACCAAACTCACTTAATGAATTTCTCACTTAGCAACCTAAATTCTGGGCTCAATTATGGCCATAAGTCGAGGACTACCTGTATTTACCACATATCCTGTACCGTAGTGTTTTTTGGAGTCATATGATTGCCATTTGTGACCCTCTCCAGTATGATTCCAACTAGCAAAGTCAATGGAGAAGCCAGATTTGCTTAGTGACCACATAATTCACTTAAAAGCAGCAATTTGTTTAATAACCATGGCAAGAAAAGTCGTAAAATTGGGACTGATTCAACTCCTTGCTAAGCAATGAAAATTTTGGTCTCAATCGAGATCGTAAGTTGAGGATACCTGTATGGCCATCTCATATTCAGGCCTGAAACTCTTTGATTAAGAGCATTGGAATTCCTCATTTTATTTCTCATGGTGAATATCATTTCATTTTTTTTTTCTCATTTTCTCAAGATTTTTCTCATCTTCTTTTTGCAAATTGGGCTTCGTATTTTTAAAAATGTTACTGCAAACAATCCAATGTAATTCTATACTGTCCATCTCCAAGCACTTTTAGTTTTGTTTGCAAATTTGCATAATATACACATTTTGTATAAACAGTTCCTAATATTACTGTACACATCTAAATTTGTCTATTTTTAACAGACATCTCAATAACATACACGTTTCTCTACTATGCATGCTTTATTAACAAACTGCAATGAAATATTTGAAATCTGTAGATTTCAAACAATTACTAATACATGATTTCATCTATTCCATACAGAGATGAAATCAAAAAAGGCAAGCTTAATTAGTAGTTGAGTGAGTTTGCATACCTAGAACTTGGCTGACAAATATATCCATGGCACTTGGTTTGCTTATATTTTACACATGTTAAGCTGCATGAACATAGAAGAAATGTCGACGTGTATGTAGGACTGTGTGTGTATATTTATTTATGGACACACATGCATACACACACACAAACCTAGAATGAAATAAACTGATGGCATTAAGATGGAGAAAACTCTGCCTTGCAACTGAATGCTATCTTTGGTTTTTTTTAAAAAAAATACTAATTAGGAAATGAAGTTTTGTAATTATTCTTATTTAACATATTTATTATATAAATGAATTACCAAAAATGTAGTTATGCTGGCCTGAAACCCAGAAGAGAAATGTTTTGTACTCATCTTCCATTCATTCTGTAGAAAAGCAACACAGAACTCAAACTGGGTTTGTTTTCTGGTTTGGATTTTTTAAAAAGAATCACGATTAAATTGGGATGGACATAAATATCTAAAGAAGAAGAAGAAAAATAACTTGAGCGTGAGAGATTTCAGAATTTCTGTAACCGAGGAACATGCAATATCTGACTTCTAATTTAATGCATGAATTCTGCAGTTACCCAGTGCCCTGATTCTCTAATAACGTCTCATATATGTAGCCAGCAATAACTGCAATCAAAATATCTTTTTTGCCATACTAATACATTTTGCCTACTGAGCCTCTGAAGCAATAGAATAGAATAGAATAGAATAGAATAGAATAGAATAGAATAGAATAGAATTCTTTATTGGCCAACTGAGGAATTTGTCTCTGCTGCATAAGCTCTCAGTGTACATGCGAACAACAAAGTAATATGATTATGATGATGATGATTAGAGAAGGTAGTAGATTTTAAATGTATTTCTGTCATTATTTAAATGTTTTGTTTTTGCCAAGTGATTTTTCCAGTTTCCTAGGTACAGAAGAGTAGTGTATTATATCAACACCTGAACTGTTTTATTCAGGACTTACAAACATTCCATAGTCAGAAAAAGATACACCACAAACATTTTTTTTGCTTTAATTTATATGCCGTGCTTCTCTGGAGACTCAGGGCGGCTTACAATGCATTAAGCAATAGTCTTCATACTTTTGTATATTTATACAAAGTCAGCTTATTGCCCCCACAATCTGGGTCCTCATTTTACCTACATGTGAAAGGATGGAAGGCTGAGTCAACCTTGAGCCTGGCGAGATTCGAACCTGCAGTAATTGCAGGCAGCAGATGTTAATAACAGTCCTTTAATCCACTGTACCACAGGCTCCTATTTTCTAATTTTGATTTTAAACATTATCTGATTACTTTAAAATTATTCTCTGATTGCTTAAAAATTATTCTCAGCTGTATATTTACAGACCTAATTTATGGAAAGGACATAATCCAGAAGGACTTCACAAACTACCCAAGATACTAGATTTTGGCCCAAATACTATGTTTCCCCGAAAATAAGACCTCCCCCCAAAATAAACCCTCCCCTGAAAATAAGATCTCCCCAAAAATAAGCCCTCCCCAAAATATTTAAACACATGTGCAGCCAGTTGCCACATTTCCTCTGGTTAGGGTTAGAGAGACAGAGCTGGAAATCAGGTAAGACAGCAAGAGGAGCCCCGTCTTGCTCCAGGCACCTCAAAATAATAAGTCGTCCCTGAAAATAAAGCCAAGCGCTTATTTCAGGGTTCAAAAAAATATAAGACAGGATTTTATTTTCGGGGAAACACGGTATCTGAACCCTACTACGCCATTACTTGCAAACAAACTGGTCTGTTATTGTTTTCTTCCTTTCGGCTTCCATTTTGAAATGCCTGTGTGCCATTTTATTCTGCAATATATCTGATGAATGGTAGTTCGTAACTATAACAGAAACTAACAAAGCACCTTTCTTCTCCTTTATATGGTTGATGATGATGATAATGGTGAAGCAACAAGAGGCTGAGGACGCCTGCAAATTATTTCATCATGAATTTAGCTGCAAGTGACTTTCTGATGTCTGCTACTCAAGCTCCAGTCTGCTTTTTCAACAGTATGCATAAGGAGTGGGTACTTGGAGACATAGGTACTTTCCCAATAGTTTTACATTTTCCAGTTGCATCAAGTTTGTCCTTGACGTGTTATCTGCAAAAGGAATTATAAGGTTGTAGGATCCTTTATCAACAAGACTGTATTTTTTTTAAAACCATCCCTAACCTTTGATCAGCAAATTAATTCCTTTTTTTTCCACCTCTCCCAGAGGCAAGGAATTTGTAATATGTAATGATTGCACAATGATCTGTTAACATGAGGAATGATGGATAACAATAACCAGAAGTCCATTTCCCATTATTATGAAGAAGCTGTATATAGAAAGATGAAATGAGATATAATGTATGAGATTCATATCTTTGCTTGTTATATTAATATAACATCTGATTCCATATCTTCTCCTGAGAGAAGTCCTAGAATTATATTTAAAATGGTCCATTCTGACAATAAAAATCCCATCATTTTGTTCAGTACAGAAATGTGAGTTAAAGCAATCCAGTGGTTGAACAAATAACTTCTACTTGAACGTATCAGTGAAAAGGAATTCATTGTTCCCTAAGGTAATTATTTTTATTACCAAATTGCTCTTACAGTTAAAAAAAAAAACATTTCCTAACATTCAGTGGAGTGTCCCTGCTTTTAAATTAAGATCATTATTCTGCATCTTGCATCAATAGAGAACAATATTTGGAATAATAATTAGAAGGGATTATTAATTCAATCCTCTTGTCCCATGCGAGAGTCAATTATTAAAGCATCCCTGACATACAACCATTCCTCAACGGCTTAAATATTTCCAACATTTCTTCCTGTTATGGTTTCATAGTTTGGATCCATTTCCTGACATCCTTAAAACTGCTTCTTTGTAATCGGTTTTTCAAGGAAAATTGTGATTTTCTATAGAAATAGCCTAGAAATAATCTAAGTATTTTAGAATTGCTGCATCTCCTCTGTTACTGTTCATCAAAGATGATATGCCAGATCTTTCAGAACTTACTCTCAATACTTAATTTCCAGTACTTTGATCACCCTTCTTTCCCTCCTTTTCATCAGTTCTATTTCTCTGATTTCTTTTTTTTAAATATGCCCAGAATAGTACTTAAAGTGGGGCATAACTTATGCAAAATAGAGTAGAAGTTTTATTTGCTTGTGTATAGAATTGAATAGAATATTTTTCAGTTGTAAAGTGATAGATAGATAGATAGATAGATAGATAGATAGATAGATAGATAGATAGATTATAGATGAGCAATAGAATATAGTAAAAATAAAACTTGAAGTTCCACCATATCAATCTACTTGGCATCAATGATTCCTAGTAATTGTTTCCAGAACTTCTAAACCAGCAAGCTAGAATGAGATCACACTTGCCCTAGGACAGGGGTCTCAAACTCGTGGTGTCACGTCATCATGTGGAGCTCACGAGCCCGTTTTCACTGGCTGAGTGCTCAGGCCACCACCAGCACCCCCGACATGAGTGACGTCGAGCTGGCTATGCCCAACCTGGCCACACCCATCTCAGCTCCCCGAGGTCAAACACAACCCTGATGTGGCCCTCAATGAAATTGAGTTTGACACCTCTGGCCTATGGCATATACAGTATTTGTTGAATTAAACATTCTTGATTGATTTACACAATGTATGAAATCATACAAACTATTATCCCAAAATCAAAGGGTCTATAATATAGTCCAGTTTTTAGTCTTGAGAGTTGAACAGTGAGAAGACCCACTGAATTACCAATTCCAAGAGTGTCAAATTCTCAAGCCCTTGGCTTTTTTGGAGCAGGAAAATATATGTTTCAGTTGAGCTATACCAGCTTTCTGAACTCTGGTGTGTTCCTTTGTCCTTTGGGTTGTTTTTAGTCCTGACATCTGGCTTCACTCTTTTTCATTGTGACCTCCTGATGCAAGTCGTCTTTCCAGGGTCATCCATAATTCAGGCCTATGCATTATATAATACAGTTTTATAAACCAGAACTTGCGTAATAAAAAAATTCATACATTTCTCAGTGACCTTCTGAACGTCAAAACCCAAAATAACTTTTTTTTTACTTTTAAAAGCATTTTTTCTACAACCTTTTCAGCCGAAAAAATGCTTTTAAAAGTAAAAAAAAAGCCTCTGATGATTGCACGGCTCAGATGGGATCTTCAGAGGCTTTTAAAAGCATTTTTTCTACAACCTCTTCGACCGAAGAGGTTGTAGGAAAAAAAATGCCTTTAAGGTTGTAGAAAAAATGCTTTTAAAAGAAAAAAAAAAGTTGGCCACGCCCACCCAGTCACATTACACCCCCACCACCAAGCCACACCCACAGAACTGGTAGTAACAAATTTTACATTTCATCACTAGTTCATACATTATGCTAAATTATGGTTTGCTTACTGAATAAAGTACAAATGAATTTAGTTCATGGATACACTTAAATATTTGGATTTAAGAAGATTGCAAAATGGGTAGGGCAATAATATACACATCAACAAGAATTTGTATTTGGAAGTTTTTCTTTATTATTATGCTATGCCTGTTTTAGGCTTACAATTGTTACATTCTCGGCTTTAAAATAGCAAGATATGGTGGGGCCATTTTTCAACAGCCATGGCCTCTGTCTAAGGATCATAAAAAGGAGACCAAAAGCTTTATGTATTTGCCAATCACCATGTTTAATAGATCTTAGTGGGTAGATTCATGCAAATCTGTTCAATCAAAATCAGACAAACCACAAAATGAATTAATGATCTATGTGACTTCATGGGAGAAATAGAAATCCAGGAAATATAAACTTTAAAAAAATGTGAAAAAAGATCACATGGTATAGTTCTAGGAAGTACTACATGCAAACAACTCCTTATCATCTGAACTCTGAGAAGTACACTGCTCAAAAAAATAAAAGGAACACAAGCAGAAGACATCCGAGATCTGAATGAATGAAATAGCCTTATTAAATACTTTGTTCGTTACATATAGTAGTTTTGTGTTCCCTTTAGTTGTTTGAGCAGTGTATAAACTACTGTATGTAAAGAACAAAGTATTTAATAAGGCTATTTCATTCATTCAGATCTCGGATGTCTTCTGCTTGTGTTCCCTTTATTTTTGTGAGCAGTATATTTGCGGATGACTTTTTCTTGATTTTTTCCCACTCTCCTCCTTTCCCATTGCAAAATAAACATCTTGTGTTTTTGTTTTTGCTTTTTGTTTGCTCCAGGTTGTAACTTCTATGCTTTTTGTGGAGCACTCTTTGGAATAACCTCAATGATGACCTTGTTAGCTATTTCGGTGGATCGCTACTGTGTGATTACGAAGCCTCTCCAGTCCTTAAAAAGAAGTTCAAAGAAACGTTCTTGTATAATCATTATATTTGTCTGGCTCTACTCACTGGGTTGGAGTGTGTGTCCATTATTCGGGTGGAGTATGTTATCAGTTTTCTTTCATTTTTTTTTTCATTTTTTTTACTCTTGTATCTACATTTTGTGTGTGTGTCCATGTGCATATACTTACTATGTTCTAATACTGTCTGCATTTGGGTTGTACAACAGTTCCCACTCTCCCGATCAGAATATTGGCTGTATTTGCATATTTGTGTGGTATAAATCATACCGATGATATTGATCAGTATTTTACTTGCAAGCTATTTTGGGGGGGGGTTGGTTTATTATACATTTGATGAGTGTGTATATGTATATATAGGTATCTTGCATATAGGAGGTTTCTACAAAAATACATTAAAAAAACTCACACCATTTTTTCTGCTAGAAACATACGGCTACACGTTGCTTTCTTGATAAGCTTAACTGAGTAATTAGATTTTTTTTTACTCCCTCTTTTATTACTGTATAAGAAACTCAGGGAGACAAATATACCTAATATTCCTTCCTCCTCATCCTATTTTCCCCATAACAACAATCCTGTATGATGAGTTGGGCTGACAGTGAGTGACAGGCCCAAAGTCACCCAGCTGATTGTTGATATCTAAAGCAGGACTAGAACTCAAAGGCTGCCAGATTCCAGCCTGGTGCCTTAACCATGAGACCAAACTGTATCTCATTTCATATCGTTTTGATTTAATTTCCAAAAATGTAAGTGGAATTGAGGATTTATTTATTTAGATCGGAATAATAACATACACAGCAATAAAAATATAATTTAATTAAGTCTGAGAGACCATGTCAAGACTTTTAATATATTTCTTTTAATAGATGCAGCTCAAATAATTTTAGTGTGGTAATAAAATTGAATAAAAATAATTGGGTGACTCTGAAAGATCCAGATATATCATTTTTAGTAGCTGTGTTCCTCTAGGTTTGAATAAGTTAGGTTAGAAAATTATTGTCTCTGTTGTGTTTCCACCAATTAAAATTGCATCCTCCTACCCTCCCACATTGGTGGAGAGAACATATTTTGCAAGTATCCAGAACCATATACTTTAATCGCTAATTAATATCTATCTAGTAATATTATTGAAAACTGACTAGGGAAGAATTCATATCAAGGGATTTAATGACTCAAGACTAATTCAAGCAAATCTCTAATTAGCAGATGCTGAATTTATCAAGAGCCTTTTAAATCTTCTTTTTCCAGCATGAAAACATCTGATTCTGGGTTAAATTAAGGGATTTACTGCAATATCTCTGTTTTCTATAAACATCAGCTTAGGAAGATGTACTTTTCTCTCTATTGTAATCTGAAGCAATAGGAAAGCATCCCACATTGCCTTTGCAATGTAATTCCATATATATACTGGTCCAAGCATGCACCAGTGAATCTTCTTGGCATCTTTTGAGCTATTCGTAGCTCTGCTGGGTCTGTAGATACAGTGTTATGTTAACAATCAGCCTTATAATTAAAACTGTACTGCACTAACTCTGTCCAGATGTTACAGGTTTTATTTCTCTTAAGCTTAAATAAGTAACGGCAAGGGAGTACAACAGTCAGGATCTCTGTCCCAGAATGACCCCAATTCTAAGGATGGTGGGATATTTGTTTAAGTTCCATGTAAGATTTTTTTTTTCTGCATGATCACACTTCTTTTGGTTGCACTGCCATCAGAACAAAATCACAAAGGATTTTCACTAAAAGACTACCGTATTTGGGGGTTAATCTTATACTCTGAATGTAGCGCCCGCCCAGCTTCTCAAATGGAGGTTTCAGAGGCTGAAAAAAGCATCAGAAACGAAGCTTCAGAAAACAAACCCCCAAACAGAGCTTCAGAAAACAAGCCCCCAAACAGAGCTTCAGAAAACAAGCCCCCAAACAGAGCTTCAGAAAACAAACTCCCAAACAGAGCTTCAGAAAACAAGCCCCCAAACAGAGCTTCAGAAAACAAGCCCCCAAACAGAGCTTCAGAAGACAAGCCCCCAAACAGAGCTTCAGAGACTTTTTTCCTGAAGCTCTGTTTCAGAGGCTTTCAGAGGCAGGAAAAAAAGATTTTTCTGAAACAGAAAAACTTTCAGAAGTTTCAGAGGCAAAAAAAAAAAAAAAGGCAAGGCACAGAGCTCACAACCAAGGAACCTGTTGCTAAAATTCACCCCTGGGAACAACTGATTGGGGGTATTCCGGGAGGCTATCCACCTGCCAATCAGCTTTTTTCTTATTTTCCTTTTTTCTTCTTCTTATTTTTATAAGGTGCGTTTTATACTCTGAAAAATACGGTATCTTCTCTGTATGTAGAATCTAACTGCAAATTACAGGATCTCATTCTATATCCGGATTTTAAGTAGAAGTTCTGTCCTGGGAACTCATAAATTAAAGTATAAAGCAATGTTAAAATAAAGTCCACAAATAAAACCTCATTTAAAAAAAAAACTCTCAAAGCCAGTTTAAATTATGCAAAATATTTTCCATACATATATGAAAGCAAAGGATAAAGCCACTGGGAATAGAATTGCACAGCTGAAGGATCAGTTGGATCATCAACTAACTGGATGATCAAAAGCTCTGTTGATCAAAAATGCTCCTGTTTGTATTTTTAAAAAACATTTAAACATTTATGAACAAAGAAGCATTAGAAATTAAATAAAATTATTCCTTAATTTAGCCATTGCATTCTATATAGATCATCTACATGGTGAATATACATACCTCTCCTATATTTTTAAAAGATTTAAACCATTTTGAACATAGAAGAATCTGAAGTGAAGTAAAATAAATCCCATAGTTTAATCTCTGTAGTTTTCTACAAATATTTTTCTATTTTTAGTGATTCTGCCTTAAGGACTAACGTCTAAAGAAACTTTTAGACACATCTTAATTTTTTGTTTAAAGACTAGCATCCCGTAGGTGATATTCCATTTTTTAAAAAGAAACTTTTGTTGACTTTCCAGTTGAATAAGTTCTTATTCAAATATAAGAATAAGTTCTTATTCAAATGGAAAAATCAACAGAAATTTCGTTTAGAAAAATGGTTCTAGGTCTTGAATCTCATCTATGGGATGAATGTCTCTGAATGTTGTAGTCCAGAGTATCTCTAGCAACAGGTTTGGAGATGTCTTTACTGCAAACTAATCATTTGAATAAGTTCTTTATAAGTTCTGATTTAAATGGTCAGTTTGCAGTAAAGACATTCCCATGCCTGTCCCTACTGATAGTTTTGACTACCAACATTCAGAGTCATGCTGACTGACATTGATGGGGATTTTAGCCAATGCAATTACTGTAGAAGGCCTTCTGGAATGTGAAACTTCATAGTGCAATAAATTATTTCATATTTCGGGAGTAAGATTTAAAGAGAAGATGAAGACAACTACATCTATTGAACAGTGTTGCAGTTTCCTTCTTAAATAACAAATTCTTACATCTGTTGTTACTTATTTTATGCACTATATAATAAATATTTAATTAATATTTAGGTTCCTATATCCCAGAAGGTTTGATGATATCCTGTACATGGGACTATGTAAGCTATTCTCCAGGAAACAGAAGTTACACCATGTTGCTATGTTGGTGTGTGTTCTTCATTCCTCTTATGATAATCTTCCATTGCTATTTATTCATGTTCCTCACCATCAGAAGTACAGGCAGGTAAGAGTATGACTGAAAAATGTAATTATTAGGAACTCAAGTACATTCCCATTGATTATAAGCTGTAATGGTGCATTAAGAACTGGAAAGAGATTCATATTCTTACCAAATTAATATTCCTCCATTATCAGTTAAGACAATATCCTATCTCAGTATTGGTGAACCTATGGAATGTGAAACCTTCCAGCACATGAAACCATCCCGCGAGGAATGCACGGTCTCGCTGGCTCCTCTTCCGTGTTCCTGTGCACACACGCAGGCTGATTAGCTGGCTGTCACATGCACGGGAGCGGCGAAACCTGGAAGAGCAGTGTTCTGTCATGCATGCACAGGCTGGCACCCATCGCACACATGCCTGATGGCCAGCTGTTTGTCGGGCACACGTCTGTGCCAGAAATTCAGGTGCCAGCTCGCACATATATGACGGACCGCCGCTCTTCCTGGTATCGGCGCTCCCACACGTGCAAAGGCCAGCGGGGCTGCGCATTCCTCGTGGGATGGTTTTGCATGCCATTTCCAGCATGCAGGCGGTGAAGTAAAAGGTTTGCCATCACTGTCCTATCATATCCTATCACACAGGAGCCACAACTAAGTGAATAAGAAAGTCTCTGCCATAGGAACATAGGAGATAAAATTTAATTCTAAATGGGGAAAGCAATCCAGACTCTAAAAGTTGGCTGAAAGCTTAGAGATGAAAGATCAGACTGTGATTCTTAGCTTGTCTCATCTTAATTTGAATGCTGAATGTATAAATTTGTATAAATATGACTTTTTTTAAAAAAAAGTCTTCTCCGGAGACTCAGGGCGGCTTACAATGCGTTAAGCAATAGCCTTCATACTTTTGTATATTTATACAAAGTCAGCTTATTGACCCCACAACTGGGTCCTCAATTTACCTACCTTAGAAAGGATGGAAGGCTGAGTCAACCTTGAGCCTGGCGAGATTCGAACCTGCAGTAATTGCAGGCAGCTGGTCTTAATAACAGGGTGCTTTTATTAGTTTTGGTACATTAGGTAAGTACAGAAATGCTTATTGTATTGAATCATGACACCCTTGGCTTTTTTCAATATTTTACTTATTTCCGTTCCCTGTTCTTTCTTCTTTGTTGTTGGTGTTTTTTTTTAATTATACAGTTTCTTTCTGCAAGACTTTTGAATAGCGATAGATAGATAGATAGATAGATAGATAGATAGATAGATAGATAGATACCCTGTTTCCCTAGAAATAAGACATTCCCTGATAACAAGCCCAATTGGGCTTTTGAGTGCATGTGCTAAAATAAGCCCCCCTGAAAATAAGCCGTCCCCAAAAATAAGTCCTCCCCAAAAATATTTAAACAGATGTGCAGCCGGTCCCTGCCACTTTCTCAGTTAGGAAGACAGAGCTGGAAATCAGGTAAGCTGGCAAGAGGAGCCCCATCTTGCTCCATGCGTCCCAAAATAATAAGACCTCTCCGAAAATAAGGCCAAGCACTTATTTCGGGGTTCAAAAAAATATAAGGCAGGGTCTTATTTTTGGGGAAACATGGTCGATAGATAATGATAGATAGATAGATGATAGAGAGAGAGAGACAGACACAAAGACAGACAGACATCATATCACTGATACTATTTAAATAACATTCAATACAAATTATAAAAGGAATGTTAAATAACCAATTATTGTTAGGCTTCATCCAAGCCAGCATACTATTTCATGAAGCCATGAAGGAGCACCCAACATCTTTCAAATCCCTATGAGTTTATAACCAGTATTGTAAATAATGGGTGACAAAGCTACATTTGCCATCGTTTTTCTTTTTCTAAAGTCTTTCTCGCTTCTTTTTAGAAAAAAAAACCACCCCCCCCCCAACAAAGGGGGGGGGGCGGAAGTTAAAACTTTGGCGACTAGTATCATCTGCAGCGATACCAGGTGATTGATCCCCCCAGCATGGCAGAAAGAATTCTTAATCAAAGGCCTGCTGTTTACTCTTTTTTTTTTTTTTTTACAGGAATGTTCAGAAATTGGGATCTAGCACTAAACGGAAAAAATCAAGCTCACAGAACATAAAGAATGAATGGAAACTGGCAAAGGTTGCCTTCGTAGCTATTGTGGTTTACGTTGTATCCTGGTCTCCGTATGCTTGTGTCACTCTGATTGCATGGGCTGGGTAAGTGGCAGGTCACCCTCTCCTCAGTCAAGGGTAGAAAAAAAGGATAAAAGGAAAAAGTAATCCTGCCCATTTGTTCACTACACGTTTTGACAATTGTCAAATACGTCTCTCACTTAGTTACTTGGTGAGTGAAGCATTAACTATAGCAAGGGGTCCTTGGACTCTCTGAGCTTGATTGTTTCCTTGCAGACATTTCATTATGCAAAGTAAGTAACCCCATCAGTACACAGATGATATTATCTAGTATGGTGATGAAACATCTACAAAAAAACAACGAAGCTCAGAGAGTGTCAAGGACCCCTCTTTTCAACCCTGAGCTACAATATTCTCCTTTGTCAGTAACTATAATAAGTATTGTGCTTTGCCAGGGCAAAAAAATCCTGAATATTTCAGTTTAAATAAATACCAAATTAGAGGAAGTATTTTTTCCCCTGAAATATTCTTTACCGAGAAAATGCTGCATCATAGTTGAAAGGAATAATTCATGGTTTATCTTGTTATTGGCTTTTTTCCCCCCAAGAGCTTCCTCTTCCTGCCATCTCTTTATATTTTTTGAATTGTTTGAAAAACAATATTGTCAAAACATGTAAAATATTTATTGTATGGAACCTTCTATTTTTAAAATATTTAAAAGCATATAAGAGACACACATGTCATGGAAAGTTTTTCAGTGTCAGTATCTCCCATCTGGCCTTCATATGTATCATAATTTCATATTTCCATTTTTTCTCTCTCAAAACTCCCAAAATTAAATTTAGAAAAAGTCACTGAAGACATTGATATATGTGAAAGCACTGCAGCAGATCATCAAATATTCAACCATGTGCTTAGTTAAAGGTCTAGTGATTAATCTAAGTTTTTTTTCTTATTTCTAGTTATGCCAAGATCTTAACTCCATATTCTAAATCTGTGCCTGCTGTTATTGCCAAAGCTTCAGCAATTCACAATCCCATAATTTATGCTATTATTCACCCAAGTTACAGGTATTGTAAATGCACTCTTAAGATACTACTTTTATACTCTGATATGTTTGAAGTGAAATTAATCCACTGTTGGATAGAAGTACATCTTTATTTAAATTACTTCATTTCTGCCTGGATTCCTATATTTTTAGCAATTTAACTAATAACAATATCTCTTTTGTCTGTACAGCATTTAAAAGAAAAATGAGTTTAAAATGTATAAATTCCTCAGCAAAAGACAGTAGCTCAAGGCTGATCATGTCTGAATTTAGAAGCTAAAACAGGATGGACCAGCAAATATGTGAATGAGAGGGCTATCTATCCCCTAAATATCAGAGTTGTAGACTAATCCTGAAAGTTAGAAAAACATCATGGAAGAAGGCTATAACAGTTTCTATATTGCTGTCAAAATCTACCGGATGGAGTATGGAATCAAAAGGATTCCAGCTCAATTTTGTCCTTCTCTTTATCAGGTCAATGACATAATATTCCAAACTGATGTATTCTAGGTATGTTGGCACCAATGATGGACATTAATTGACATACTGTTTGCCATAACTAGTAGAAGCATGATTAATGGGAAGAGGTACATAATGTATGGGGCAGTAAAAGAACTTCATGGACCCCATTTTCTGGAACTTGTATTTCCCAAAAGCCAGTTCAGTCCCAATTATTTTTGCATCCATATGCTAAATTGGTCCTAGCCGACAATTATAGCAATTCGGTATATTCCATTTCTTATTAACTTTTTTGTGTGTATGCTTGTTGTTCACTACTAAAAATCTGTCTGGACTGAAGTAGGTAGTAAATATTGTTACATAAATAACATACATTTACAGAATAAATAAGTATTTGTATAATTCCTTAATCTGCAATATTAATATGGATAGCAAAATGGATTTACTTTCCGCACCTTTTTGATGAACATAGCAATATACTATTTTTATTTCATGCCTAATCTTACGTTGTTGTTCCGGAAAGAATTTTTGCCTGCTTACTGAAGTTTTCTTTGCTATCAGCTAACAGAGAATTTCATGACAATCTGTAGACATTTATCTTTCAGTCGTTTTGGCTGGTTCTGCTTGTCTAAGGGTCAAGAATTGAACACCTGATGCAGAATTGTACAGACATTAAAAAGAAAGATTAAAAGCATCTGCTAATATCAGCTGACAGCTTCTGAGTCCCAAGTTCATTGCTATATGCTGATTATGTTTGAACTGTAATATTTTATAGAAAGGCACATCGTTGTCTCTGTGTGTGTGTTCAAAAAAGAGTTCTTTGATTTTGATTTTTCAAAATCTAGACAGACTTCATTAAGCATGATATAAGAATTCAGTTCAACCTCAGATCTGTTAGGATTCCTGACAGCTATCAAGCTCATTACGTTTGCAACAAATTTATCCGCAGAACTATGTTTAAAATCATGAAAGCTTAACATAGAACAGAGAAGTATGCATATCCTGTTATCCTGGTATATCCTTTTACCTTTAAAAACTTTAAACATTATTGTTATTCATTATGTAATGAATAATTTAATTGTAATGAAAAAGGACATTTTAGCATTATCATCAAATATCCCTTTGAAATACTAGTATACACAATGTGTAACTCATCCAAGGCTCAATTTTCTATTTCAGTTTATTGAAATAAGTAACAAAAATTGAAAGCAAGATATTAAAGTAGTGGTAGACAAAGAACTAACTTTATAAGATGAAATACTAGGATTAAGATTTTACACGACCTGAAGAATAAGGGAATATTAAAATACTAAATTTCAAATTGTACTACCAAGCCAGCTGTCTAACTTGGGTCTAAAGGAAGAAAATAAATTTGCTGCAACTTGGTTAGTGATAGTTAAATCATCCAATATAACCCAACCAACCAATATAAATTCTTATTTGTTTATAAACAATGCAAACAGTTTTGTAAATTAAGAAAATGTCCCAGGTGAACTATATTTGTATTTTTGATGGCCATTATATTGTAGCCACAATCCTTGAATAGGATCATACATTTAACTAATTTAATTTATTAATTTAACAGGCATATAAATGTAATCATAAATAAATAAATAAATTGGCAGACATGAAATAAATGATAATTAATATGTTCTGAGACCTTGCCATGCATCTAGGTCAAGCTTCACAAAATAAGATTAAGTGAACATGAACTACGTATCTGTGAATGTTTCCGTTTGCCCAGTTGTGATCTGTTTCATTTTAGAATATCATTTCTTTGTTTGTTTTCTGCATTTCAGGAAAACCATTCGAAGAGCTATTCCTTGTTTGAGATTTCTCATACGAATATCCGCAAGCGAACTTTCCACAAGTCTTGCAAATTCTTCCTTCCGGTCGTCTTCTATGTCTAATCGTGTCTCTTTCGTGTCCAAGAACAAAAGCAATGACATTTCTTCCATTTCTGCTACGGAAAAGGTTAAGCTTGTCTCATGGAGAAGAGACTGATAGTCTCTCAGATAAAAGCTTCAAAACCACCCTGGGCATGTCATGATTAATTATGCATAGGACACAAACATTCAGACTCCTGTCTCTTTCATACAAGTCCTCACTTTAACCTGTTTCAAGGTTAATCCATCTACTGAGCATTTTGTAAAGAATAGAATAGAATAGAATTCTTTATTGGCCAAGTGTGATTGACTAGGCCAGGAAGGACTAGGGGAGACATGATAGCAGTGTTCCAATATCTCAGGGCCTGCCACAAAGAAGATGGAGTCAAGCTATTCTCCAAAGCACCTGAGGGTAGAACAAGAAGCAATGGGTGGAAACTAATCAAGGAGAGAAGCAACTTAGAACTAAGGAGAAATTTCCTGACAGTTAGAACAATGAATCAGTGGAACAACTTGCCTGCAGAAGTTGTGAATGTTCCAACACTGCATGTTTTTAATAAGATGTTGGATAACCTGAAGTGTGGTGTAGGGTTTCCTGCCTAAGCAGGGGATTGGACTAGAAGACCTTCAAGATCCCTTCCAACTCTGTTATTCTATTCTATTCTGTGAAACGTAAGCCCTAATGTTGAGGTATCCCCCCTGTAACTGAACAATGCTAGCTTTGTCTTGTTCCAGTACATTATTGTAGTCTCTTATGCCATTCCTTTTAGTTCAAATAACCATTTTTTCCCACTTAGTCTGTCATCCAAGAAAAACACATAGCTTTGTTTCACTTTCTCCTTCCTGTCCCACAATACACTTTTTAAAGAAGAATTTTAATGTGACCAATGACAAATTTCTGGGGGATGGGCCTATAACAGATCATTAAGTTATCATTAGCTGTTCATCAGCCTACCAGCTTTCCCCAGAAAATGAAGATAATGCTTTTGTTAATTAAGATCAGGACTATCTGAGAAAGGACTAAGTTATGCTAAATACTTCTATAGTATATATATATATATATATCTTTTTTCCCCCTTTTTCGTAGGCTTATATGTGCATATTCTTTCTTAGTTTACGTAGGTAAAACCTGGCTAGAAAGAATATGCATATATATATATGTAGGTCTTTGGTTATTCGGGTCTTCTCCCACGTAAAATTGGAAAGTGTCTTGGCGACGTTTCGACGAAGTCTCATTCATCATCTTCAGGCTGGTGTTCTCGGCTTCGTGCTTCCAGGAGCAATGTGAGATCGCAGCTGTCTCTTCCTTTTAACTGCTAGTGGGGGTGTGAGCTGATTGGGGGGAACTTGGCTGTGTTCTGATTGGGTGGAGGTGTGTTCTGATTGGTTAGGGGCTTGGCTGTGCTCTGATTGGCTGGGGGTGTGTTCTGTTTGGGTGGGGGCTTGGTTGTGCTCAGCTTAGTCTGAGTTGCAGGGGGATTTGAGCTGGTGAGCTGCGTTGTTGTTGTTTGGCTTCGTGTTTGTGGCCGTGCGAGCTCTTCATGGTGGGTGTCAGTCTGCTTCATGTATGGATTGGAGGGGTTTAAAGTGGCTAATGATGCAGCTGCGGTCTGGCTTCTGGTCCTTGGTCGTGGCTCATTATCAGTGTGGGTTTGAGTCTGCTTTCTGCATGGATGTGTGATGGTGACATCAGGTGTGGCACTCGTGAGTGTGGGTCTGGTGTCATTCGTCGTGTTAGGGACTCGTTTGTCAATAAGGGCGGGTTTCCAAATGGCTGGTAGGCGGGAGGTATCGTCTCGTTTGTTCATGCTGTGTGGGCGTTTTTCTATCTCGATGGCTTCTCTGATTATTCTGTTGTTAAAGTGTTCAGTTTTGGCGATAGTTCTGGTCTTTTTAAAGTCAATATCATGTCCTATGGCTTTAAGGTGTTGGACCAGGGAAGAAGTTGGTTCCTCTTTTCTGACTGAGTTCTTGTGTTCTTCTATGCGTGCACTTATTCGTCTGTTGGTTTGTCCGATGTATGTGGTGGGGCAGGCGGTGCATGGGATTTCATATACTCCTTGATTTTCTAACTCAATTTTGTCTTTGGGGTTCCTTAGGATGGTGGATATTTTTCGGTTTGTGCAGAATGCTGTCTTGATGTTATGTTTGTGGAGGATTTTGCTTATTCTGTCTGTGGTGCCTTTTATGTATGGGAGGAGGGCCTTGCCGTTTTCTTGTTCTCTGTCTTGGATTTTAGTGGGGGTTTCTTTTTGGATTAGGTTGGTGATCTTATTTCTTTGGAATCCATTGGATGTGAGTACGTTAGTGAGGGTGTGTAGTTCGGTTTTTAGGTGTTGTTCGTCAGCTAAGCGTTTTGTTCTGGAAAGACACTCATTTTCCTGCCCCCCACATACATCGACAAACCAACAGACGAATAAGTGCACGCATAGAAAACACAAAGAACTCAGTCAGAAAAGAGGAACCAACTTCTTCCTGGTCCAACACCTTAAAGCCACAGGACATGATATTGACTTTAAAAAGACCAGAACTATCGCCAAAACTGAACACTTTAACAACAGAATAATCAGAGAAGCCATCGAGATAGAAAAACGCCCACACAGCATGAACAAACGAGACGATACCTCCCCGCCTACCAGCCATTTGGAAACCCGCCCTTATTGACAAACGAGTCCCTAACACGACGAATGACACCAGACCCACACTCACGAGTGCCACACCTGATGTCACCATCACACATCCATGCAGAAAGCAGACTCAAACCCACACTGATAATGAGCCACGACCAAGGACCAGAAGCCAGACCGCAGCTGCATCATTAGCCACTTTAAACCCCTCCAATCCATACATGAAGCAGACTGACACCCACCATGAAGAGCTCGCATGGCCACAAACACGAAGCCAAACAACAACAACGCAGCTCACCAGCTCAAATCCCCCTGCAACTCAGACTAAGCTGAGCACAACCAAGCCCCCACCCAAACAGAACACACCCCCAGCCAATCAGAGCACAGCCAAGCCCCTAACCAATCAGAACACACCTCCACCCAATCAGAACACAGCCAAGTTCCCACCCAATCAGCTCACACCCCCACTAGCAGTTAAAAGGAAGAGACAGCTGCGATCTCACATTGCTCCTGGAAGCACGAAGCCAAGAACACCAGCCTGAAGATGACGAATGAGACTTCGTCGAAACGTCGCCAAGACACTTCCAATTTTACGTGGGAGAAGACCCGAATAACCAAAGACCTACATACAAACACCCGCGAAAACCTGAGAAAACATATATATACATATATATATATATGTTTATGTAAGTTTATGTAAACATACATATATATATATATGTTTATGTAAGTTTTCACGGGTATGTATGTGTGTATAGTTAATATTTCGGGTTTCTTCCCGTGTAATTGTGGATATATCCCTAAAAGGGTAGAAGCGACGTTTCGGCAGAATCCCATCTGCCATCATGGCCATTTAACAACTTTATCTACATAGGAAAAAACCCTGATTACAAAAATATCATACATTTAAACCTATGAATTAATAAGTATAAATATTTGACCTTTACAGGGAAGAGTCATAAAATATGGGTGTGGCTGGCTGAAGAGGTTCAAAAAAACCGAAATAGTGCCATCCCAGTCTCCCATAAGTCTCAGAATAAACAACACAAAATGTCTGACAGGCCTGAAAGTGATGATTCGAGATTTCATCCCACCATAGCCATTTAACAACTTTATCTACGTAGAAAAAACCCTGATTACAAAAATATCATACATTTAAACCTATGAATTAATAAGTATAAATATTTGACCTTTACAGGGAGGAGTCATAAAATATGGGTGTGGCTGGCTGAAGAGGTTCAAAAAAACCGAAATAGTGATATACACTTTGTCATAACACATACGTTCATCCCATATTTCTTTTCTTTTTTCTTTTCTAGACTTGGAATGATGTAGAGCTTGATCCTGTGGAGACAGTCCATGCAAAATTGCAGCTACCTGAAAGTAATTCTTTTTCAACAAATGCAGAAGAAAAAAGTGAATTGCCCACAAATGCCCTGAGCTGTGATGCACCAATTGAAGAAAAGGTTAAAAAAATCAGTATTTTCTAACATTCCTTTAAGTTTTACTAACAAATCTTTTGTGGCGCAGGCCTAATCCCTAACAAGAACATAAAAATCAAATGCCAAGATAAAATACTAACATAACAAGTAGCATCTGTAATAAAAGTATATTGTATGTTACCAAATAACAAAAATATAACTTAAGCTACTATAATATGTTAATTAACTATGCAAATATAAATCTAAAATATTGCAATTTATGAATTTAGGTAACACCTTACCTAAAACAGGCTAACTACACATAATTTTAAAAAATGAAATGATGACTACAATAGAAGATCTGCCCAATAATACTACTTTACTCTTTTATATTTAAATTTATTTTTTATTGATTTTAGTGGTTGTTCATCTTTTGGGAAGAACAACTTGCCTAAACTGGATCCCTCTCTATACTGAGGATATGGTGCAAATTCCAAGAACTATTCCCTCTCTGGTTCTCCTTTTCATTTTTTTCAGGTTCATAACTTAAATAGTTACATCCATCTGCTTCAAATTCATACCAGAAATCAAAATAAAATGGTTCTTTTTAGCCTTTGAAGCAGGAACATGAAAAAAAAAAACTCTTTCTCATGGAGAGTGGAAGTTTTTGGCAATTGCTTTATGCATCTAATGCAGGGGTGTCAAATTGTTGTCCTTTTGTAACAATATAGATTGGAAGCAGTGCAAACAAGTGTCTTCGTGCCCTGATTAGTATTATTTATTAGAAATCAAACTAAAGCACAGAATTCCAATGAGAGTGATGGAGGGTCTCAGTGTAGTCCTGCCTTACCACTTGGCCACCACAGGTACCGCTGACACGAGTCCCATGTCATGCCCATCGTGCCCCTCCCTCAGCCCTCCAAAGTCAAACACAATCTTAATGCAGCTCTCAATGAAATCGAGTTTGACACCCCATATAGGCAATTTGCAGCAGCAATTTTATGTTTTATGCTTTGTTAGACTAGAAGGGAGGGGATTGGTTTCTTTTGAAGCAAAAGCAATCTGCTCCTTGATTTGGAAACCTCTGATCCTTTTGGTAACACCTACTAGACTAAAAATATCAATGTGAGAACAGCTCTCCCATTTTTGGTGGAAAAGACTAATATTTTTAATTTCCATTGCTTTTTTTTCCCACCACAGTTTGCAGTATCTCCCATCTGTCCAGAAGAACCACTCAAAAGACCCCTTAAATTAAATGCACCAGAACTGCTACTCTTAACCAGCTCCTTGAGAGCATCATCTCTTCCATTTGACTTGAATGCTAGCAGCAGAGGGAAGAGCATGGACACCTCTCAAGCAGAAATCCACGAAGACGAAATAAATAGTAGCCAGGATTCCTTGGAAACCCCCATTCTTCCACACATCATTATCATTCCTACCTCAGAAACCACTCTGTCTGAAGAGCAATCTTTGACCGAAAATATAGAAGAAGAAAACGTTAGTCTGTACTCTGCTCCAGACAAGAACTACCTGTTACTCAAAGGAAGGCTTCATTCATCTACTGGATCAGCTGAGATGCTTGTATCATAAGCTTGGCTGTTTCTTTGAATAATGATACCAAAAACAAAAATTGCAGAACGGTTTAAATGAAACATTTCTCCATGCAATGTTGAGGTCATTTCTGAACTCTGCACTTTGTAGAAGCCAACTGTAACAATAGGGGCTGAAGGTTCAAAGCACTCAAAGCTTATATAACATGATTGTCAACAGATACCACCTAGTAAATATGTCTTTATATAATTGGAATAAATGTTCATGTTTCCATTACTTTAACTGGAATGCTTAACATATGACTGTCCTATCACCAAATTCCAAGAAAAAGTGTTGAGAGCATATGTAGCTACTGATTTTAGCCTGCACACAATTTGTAACTTAATTCTTCCTCAGTTCAGTTATCGGCTGAAAGATGATGAGTCAGAAGGACATGTTAGAGCAGGGGTCTCCAGCTTTGGCAACTTTAAGAATTGTGGACTTCAACTCCCAGAATTTGCTGGCTGAGGAATTCTGGGAGTTGAAATCCACAAGTTGCCAAGGTTGCAGGCCCCTGTCTCCAGGGAACATGCAGCTCCTTACAATCAGTAACTTGCTGACATTTTATCCTAGTAAAATAGTTAATTTGTCATCTGTCCTGAAATTGAAATGGCAACACAAAAATTGATTTGAAAATGGATGTATTTAAGGAAAAATTGATGCATTTAAAGATTTTTTAAAAATTTTAACTATCACTGCCTTCAATGTCTTTCTGACCTGCAGTCCTCAGTCTTTTTCCACAATATCTATTTGTATGAGTATAATTTTTTTGTTGTTAAAATCCATTTACCTTTGGATGATGGGCTATATTCATAAAAGTGAAAGGGGCAGAGTAAAAATTAAATTTAAATTAAATTATAACAATTAATATTATTACTTCCCATGTATTTTACTACAGAAGAGTGGCAACCTTTGGAGTGAAACCGGTGTGTAATCTAGGAGTCCTCCTTGGACTCATGACTCAAGAAACAAGTGGCAGTCATGGCCAGGAGGGTCTTTGTGCAACTTTGCGTTGTGTGTCAATTATTCCCTTTCCTGGACCAACAATCCCTGCTCACAGTCCCCCAATCCCTAGTCACCTCATGTCTTGACTATTCTAATATGCCCTACATGGAGCTGCCCTTGGAAAGTATCAAGAAGCTTCCATTACTTCAAAATGCAGTAGTCTGTATGATTTTGTACAGATCTAGATGTCCACATGTATCATCTCTCCTCCAGGAGAGGTTGCATTAGTTGTCAGTTTGCTTCCAGGTTCAATTCAAGGTGCTGGTTGTCATTTTCAAAGCTCTACATGGCTTGGGACCAGGTGATTTAAAGGACCATCCTTTTCTGGTCACACATCTACCCATCCCATCATAATAGGCAGGGAATGCTACAGGTCTTCTCTCCCAAAGAGATCTTCTTTGTGGACCTTCTCCGTGGTAGTTCCCCTCTCTGTGGAATAGAGCCGAGGTGGTGCAGTGGTTAGAGTGCAGCACTGCAGGCTACTTCAGCTGACTGCTAGCTGCAGTTCGGCAGTTCAAATCTCACTGGCTCAAGGTTGACTCAACCTTCCATCCGTCTGAAGTGGGTAAAATAAGGACCTAGAATGTTGGGGGCAATATGCTTATCTGCAAACCACTTAGAGGGGACTGTAAAAGTACTATGAAGCAGTATGTAAGTCTAAGTGCTATTGCTATTGCTATTCCCACAGAGATAATATTGCCCTCCCATTTTCACACATTTTTGCAAGGTGCTGAAGATCTCATTTTGCCAATGGGCCTTGGGATCCCAGACTGGGATGGAACCCCTCAAATGATTCATCTGATTGTTGTTGCCAGGGTGTAGGGAATTATTGCTTTTTTTTATTTTTATATTGGGGTTTTAATACTTGTAAGCCGACCAGAGTCACTGAGAGTGAGTTGGATGGCCATATACATTTTTGTAAGTAAATAAAAATTTGGGGCTGCGTCCCAACATTTGGAGAATGTCCGTTGCCTTAGAAAATGGACATTTGACCAGAAAATAAGAATTGTTTAAGAAACTGTTAATGGGCCAACTTCCCAATTAATCTGTATCATTCAACTTCCTTTACAAAGTTTTAAGGCTTTGCACAGTGTTTTTATACATAATTCTTTTATTTCAAATGTAAAGGTGTCGAGCACAGGATCAAACACGTCCACTTTTTCCATTGGAAGGAACTAGACAAAGATACCATACCACCGTCTCTTGTATCTCTCTAGTATATCAGTAGGAAAATACCAAATATATATATATATATAAAACTGTGTTACATCATTCTTTGTCAATAGTTATGAACTGTTGAACTCTCAAAGAAGGCTTTACTCAAGAGGGACAATAAAAAGATTTAAGTGCTGTAATATAGTTGTCTCTTTTTGTTGACTGCAAGTTTATGGTGTCTTTCTCACAGACATTTGATTTTGGTTGCCAAAACTTTTCACCATGTATCATTTTGGGGTTTGGATGGTGACAATGTTGGTAGGACTGCCTTAAAGGGCTAAAATATTGGGCACACATATATGTTAAGACTCTTGGCTAGAGGATCAAAATGCTGCTGGCATGCAGTTAATTCAATATGCATGAAGTATCTGTTGATGTAGAAACAAAGTTGTTTGGATCAGAAATGCCCAGCTGTGAGATACATATGAATGAAAATGCTGTTCAACATACCGGTATATTTGTTGATATATACTGTTATAGCCACACATGGCTATTCTTTCATAGTTATTATTCTCTGTGGCTATGATTCAATGAGATCAAACATCTCCAGTTTTTCTAACTCTAAACCGATACATGCAAAAACTTATTTGTTTTGAGACAATTGTGAACCTATGAGCCAAATGGCAATTAATTTTTAAAAATGTGATTCAAATCCTACCTTTTACACAGTTCCATATGAACAAAACCAACACAAAATGGGCAGAGCTTATACTGTGACACCCATTTTATCAATTTGGCAACATAGAAAGCCAAATGGGCACAATCTGAAATGGAAAGGGAGAATAATGCAGTCAGATGATGCAGCCCCTAATGAACATGTTCTGGAATAAACTCAGGCCAGCAATCAGAAGCAAGGAAAAACTAGATATGAACCTCGCATTTCCTATCATTTATGGGAAGAAGTTTAGTTGACCATCATTTCTTCCTTTATGACTGAATCATATAGGGTATATGTCATGCTGGCTGGGGAATTCTGGGAGTTGAAGTCCACAAGTCTTAAAAGTTGCTAAAGCCGCAGGTGTTCAGCAATGTATTTCTGTGCAAATGCAGCCTTAGAGAATCCACTGTGATCCACCGACAAAACTTGCAAAGATGTTCCCAATTAACACTCCAACCTGTTGAAAATGCAAGAAAACTCATGGAACATACTATCATCTATGGTGGACATACCCGGCAGCAAAAAAAATTTGGACAAATATAAAGAAATGGCAAAGATACATGCAACATGGTTATAGTCATAAGTGGAAAGAGATAGGTACCAGGAAGGATGAGAAGAATAATATTAATACAGTCTTAGTAAATAATTTGACAGTGTTGTGGGAATTAGTTGTTTAGCAGAACGATGGCATTTGGGGGAAAACTCCTTGTGTCTAGTTGTTCTGGTGTGCAGTGGCCTATAGCATTGTTTTGAGAGTAGAAGTTGAAACGATTTATGTCCAGGATGTGAGGGGTCTGTAAATATTTTCCCAGCCCTCTTTTTGACTTGTGCAGTATACAGGTCCTCAATGGAAGGCAGGTTGGTAGTAATTGTTTTTTTCTGCAGTTCTAATTATCCGTTGAAGTCTGTGTTTGTCTTGTTTTGTTGCAGAGCCAAACTAGATAGTTATGGAGGTGCAGATGACAGACTCAATAGTTCCTCTGCAGAACTGAATCAGCAGCTTTTCGGGCAGTTTGAGCTTTCTTTTTTGATGTATTTTGTAAAATTTTGTTGTTATTATTGTTCTTGTCATCATCAAAATATTGGTAAAATCTCTATGTCTATGTACAAGAATATATATGTAGGGCTGTTATAATATACTTACATAACTTTGTAAGTATTGGTATCCACTGAGATCAATTTGCATTGGTAATTAACAATAGCTCTAAAGTGAACAAGTGCAAAAAAATGTTCATGGTGCAAAATTAAACACAACTAAATAATTTAAAACCCAATAACGATAACACAAGTGACTTGTTAAATTCATCTATAACTTAAATCACATAGCCACTAGATGTCACCAGTGAGATTATTTTGAAGATAAACATTTTGAAATTAAGTCATGTCATAAATTTATTTTGTCAAGCATATATAACAGGTAAAAGTATAAACATAATTTGAATACATGAAAAGAGTAAGTAAAAAGGAATATTAGGACAGGGATGGTAGACACGCTGGTGCACTTATGCAAGCCCCTTGCAGACCTCTTAGGAATAGGGTGAAGTCAAAAGTAGATAGTTTAAGGTTAAAGTTTTGGGGGTTTGTGGAAGAAACTACAAAGCCAGGTAATGCATTCCAGGCATTGACCACTCTGTTACTGAAGTCATATTTTCTGCAATCGAGTTTGGAACGGTTTACCTTGAGTTTGTATCTATTATTTGCTCATGTATTGTTGTGGTTGAAGCTGAAGTAGTCATTGACAGGAAGGACATTGTGGCAGATAATTTTATGTACTATGCTTAGATCAGACTGAAGTCGGCATAGTTCTAAGTTGTATAAGCGCAAAATTTGAAGTCTGGTGGCATATGGTATTTTATTGCGGTTAGAGGAATGGAGGACTCTTCTCGTAAAATATCTCTGGACTCTCTCGATTGTATTTATATCCGATATGCAGTGTGGGTTCCAGACAGATGAGTTATATTCAAGAATTGGTCTAGCAAATGTTTTGTATGCTCTAGTTAGCAGTACAACATTACCAGAGAAGAAGCTACGCAAGATTAGGTTAACAACTCTTAATGCCTTTTTGGCAATGTTGTTACAGTGGGCTCTGGCACTTATATCTTTAGAGATGAGTACTTGACAGGAGAAGGGTCATCTACAAGGTCATGTCCATCTAATTTGTATTTTATGTTTTGATTTTTTTTTTTTTTGCCAATGTGCAAGACAGAGCATTTGTTGGTTGATATTTGGAGTTGCCACTTGTTAGACCAATCTGACACATAGTCAAGGTCTTTTTGAAGGGTAGTTGCATTGTGTTGAATAGTTTAACATCATCAGCGAAGAGAACACAATTGCTTTTAATATGATCACAAAGGTCATTTATGTAAAGTGTGAAGAGTGTTGGACCTAAGACCCTAACAAGACAACCTATTTGCCTTTTACTCTGGGTCAAGTCATGGTATTTAACATACAACTGTTCTGCTTCACAGTATGTTAGAAATCCCTGGGACTGAAACATCCAGAGTAAGCAATATATTTGCATGAAAGAGATCCAATACAGAAAAAAGCGCCAGCATGGCTCTGATTAAGAATATGTTATTAATATACACCTTAATCCAGATCTTAGGGTGGGGTAGGACTTAGGAAAGTGCTCTCTCTAACAACAATGAACCACACCCAATTCACATATGCAGGTATATCTTCATTGTGACAGGCAACTGCTGAATAAAGAATGCATCACTCAACTGGAAAGTACCATATTTTGGGTGAAAGGCTTTTATTTGTAACACTATATGTATAATTACCCACAGACGTATGCATGTTCATACTTATATCACTATCATCAAGCATGTCTCCCAGAAATGCCTACATAAGTGAAATGTTGTTCCCATAAATGAGAAAACATAGTGATTTTAATGGGCATTGTTGATCCACTTCAACCTGGTGCATGAAATTGGATGTTTCATCATGATATTCTGGTATCCAGGGTGGATCTAAAGCTTTAGATGTTAGGATCCTTGTTAAATGCTTGCAAATTGCTTCTTCTTCTACCAGTAGTTAACATCACCGTTCAGAAATCTCCTTGAAGCTGTCTTAGATGCTTAGAGGGAAAAAACCCTAGTTAATAGAAAAAAGAGCTGTTGAATAAACATTTTATAAACATATTTCTATATGTTGCAAAGAAAACCTGAAGCCTCTTTTTATTTCTTTTTTTCTTTTTCTTTTTGCACTTGTGTCTTTTCTTTAGTACCCTCTTCCTTTCTTCTCTTTTTGTTTTACTTTATATTAGTATTGCGTCAGGGGTGGGCTGCTGGGGGTTCGCAGGGCTCGGGAGAACCTCTAGCTAAGATTCTGTGCAGTTCGGAGGACCCCCAAATCCCACTCCTGGCTGGTCTCGCCCACCCCACCCCTCCCAGGAGTCCCCATGCAGATCATTTTGGATGCAGGTAAGTGCAAGGAGGCTCAGGGAGGGCGAAAAACAGGCCTACCAGAAGTTTGGGAAGGACCCGTTTCCGGCCTCCAGAGGGCCTCCAGAGCCTGGGAAGGCAGTTTTCGACCTCCCGGAAACTGAAGAACAGTCTCTGGAGCCTGGGGAGGGTAAACATGCTCCCCCGCTGTGGTGCAGAAGACCAACTAGGCCACGCCCACCATGGCCACGCCCACCCAGCAACCGGGCACACAACCCCTTGCTAAAATTTTTGAAGCCCATCCCTGGTTTGCGTTAGATTTTGCCCTTTTAATAATTTTAATATAATTTTGGAACATATAAAAGATAAATCTTCTTCCAGCTCTCATAAATATCCCATTGATGCAAAACTTTCCCTGTAAGTTTTTTTTCCCCAATTAACTCTCTGTCTGTCTTGAACACGGCCATAAAAATTCCTTTCCAGCTCCTATTATCTTAGCCATTTCAATAAAACTATTCAAAGGGGTGATGGCAGTTTAGCTGCAGGTTCTCATGGAATAATCTCTGCTCATTTCAATCCACTCTAAATCTCCTTTTTAAAAAAAATTGCACTAATAACTGTTGTGGAGAGAAATTGCTGTAAATAGTTCTCATGCCTAGAAAGCTGATGCCTCTTCTGTTTTGAATTTAGGCATTGCTTGTTCTCTTAAAACAGTTGAATCAGCACAGATTTAGCATTACCTGGTTCATCTACTGGGATAATTTGTGGACGTGGATATTTTAGACATGCTAAATCATATTTTAATAAGCTTCCAGGTTATTATATGTTTTATAGTTGAGGTTCCCACTGGATGTGACTTATAGATTCACCTAAAGCAGAATAGATCTGCCAGCATTTTGCTTAGCATTCTCATGTTTATGCAGGACATCAGTTTTACAAGAAGCTAATCTGTTGTCTGTTCATTTCCAAGATGAATTCAAGATACTGTACAGTTGTTGTTGTTAGTTGCGAAGTTGTGTCTGACTCATTGCAACCCCATGGACAGTGATCCTCCAGGCCTTCCTGTCCTCTACCATCCTCTGGAGTCCAT